CCTCGAAAAAGAAAAAAAAGAGAACGAAAAAGAGGTAATAAAATGGGGTAAATAAAGCAGAGAGTGCCACGAAAAAACCAAAGTGCATGATCTAGGAAGGGGTTTCTTGGCACCCAAGCCAACGAAACCCCCACAATGTTTAGAACTCCTTCACTACCAAATCTTAAAAGAACTAGCAAGAGTTGACCGAGGAAGAGTGCTTCAAGGTAGTTCATGATTAGTGATAGTTGGAAGGGAGAGATAAGGGTTTTGGCCGATGCTAGTGACCTTTGATTGAAGAGAAGGGTTTTAGTCGAAACCATAGACCCTTTGGGTTTAGGTTGAAGATGTAGAACCTCACGTCATGATTGCCACCACCCAAAAAGCATTTTCCCCATGTCCAAGCCAATCGCCAGTCATCTGAACCCGTGTCTAAGACTTCTGAACGAGCTAGTGGTGAAAACCATCACGTGAACTCTAGCATTTAGAGGTTAGCGTCGTGGTATTGAGACGATAGGGCCGAGAGGTTACTATTGTGCACATCTATTGCACCAAAAAGGTCCCTATCCCACTGGTCTTGAGAGTGAGCGATTCATTCTTGCTTTGCATGTCATATCATACCCCGTGAGGACCTTTGTTGCCTTTCCATTTGTTCGTCGGACTTGAATTCCATGCATGGTTGGTTGTGGTCGATAAGTGGTTTCGTTGAGACTTGTATTTATCCATGAATAAGTTGAGAACTTTTCATTTGTCCGTTTTCGTGCCTTTGAATGTCGTTTGTGGTGGATATCGGTATTGCTTGCAACAGTTCATGTGTTGATTGTCAATAAACATCGAGAATTCCAGCTTCGTATCCTTTGATCTGTCCCCAAAGCATTTGTGTAGGTTGAAATATTACTGTGTGCGTGTAATGGTTTGCTTGGGGACAAGCAAATGTCTAAGTGTGGGGGGGTGATTCGGGCCTAATTCCACATATTTTGCCCCCGGTTTGCTCAGATGGTTGTGCCAAATTCGCTCATTAGAGGTTGGTTTTACACGAGGTTCTGCGTGTTTGAGTGCTTTTCAGGATTTAACAGGTGGAACCAGCCTCGGAGTCGAAGGATTGGCGAAAAGGATCGAAAACCGGGAGAAGAGGTGAAAAAACGCAAGTTCACAGCTAAAGGCAGGAGTTCACAGTCGTGCAAAACCGTGAAGAAGAGGAGTAGACCGTGAAGCGCAGGGTGTCCAGAGCCAACTCGAAGGTTACTGACGCAAGGCGAGTTCACGGTCACTAAGACCGTGAACACAAGCAGTTGCCCGTGAACTGCCGTGATCGATGCGGAGCATTTTGGCGCAAGGCGTGAGTTCACAGACGCGTTTTAGAGTTCACGGCCATGAACTCAGGCCGTGAACTCAGCTCCTCTCGTGTTTAAAAGCTTAGCTGCAAGGAAAGAGAAGGGTGGAGCCACTTTTTCTGGGAGAAACACTTCTTCTACATTTTAGATAGAGAACCAGACCCAAGAGAGAAGAAGGATTTAGGGCTTGGCTTCAAAGGAGGTTTTGGGAATATTTACACCTTTTTCTCCTTTGTTCTCCCACTTCTTCCATGGAGTAGTCCTCCTCCCACTTGGGTGTTGTGAAACCCTAAACCCTACTATGTAGTTTTCTTGTATGTGGTTTGAATGATTGATATTGGGCATTGTTCAATTTAATGTTTGAGGTATTTTCACCATGATTTGGCATGCTTATGCTTAGCAACTTAGTGGTTGTTCATATTTTTTGCTTAGCATCCTAGGGTTGTGCATAATCGTGCTTAGCACCCCCTAAGTTTGTGCATTTAGGTGCTAGTAATCTAACTTGCCAACTTAGCCTAGTTTAGAGAGGAAAATCCCCCTTTTAAGGGAGACTCAATCGAGTTGGTTTTCCTTCTGCTTTCCAAGCCACCTAAACTAGGTCAAGTTAGGGCAATCCTCAATATTGAATTGAACAAGTCGATTAACCATGGTTAAACCGTCCGTCCTTAGAGTTGAGTGAGGAAGTAAGCCGATTACCGATTTTCTAAACCGAGAGGGTCGAGTGACACGACCTTTCATCCTCACCTCGGTTTAGCAATTGAGATTGTGGTCGTCGAACACATACGCTTTCCTCTTCGGTTCATGATTAACGTGCCCAAGGCAATCGTTCCATCCCACGTAGCATAGTAGCGGTTTACGGGGAAGCGAAACCCAAGTGACTTTCCCACAAAAGAGTTTTGAAACCAATTTACTTTTGCTTTCCTTCATTTAAATTGGCAAACCTTTAAACCAAAGTTTTATCGCTAGATAATGATGTCAACAACCAAAGTAGGGGTAGACGGACCGGCCCAGCCGATATATAGATACTTGTCCTATACTACACCCGATTAGAGTTTAAAAACTTGGGCTCTAATTGAGGTTTAATTGTAGTGTAGATTCGAGCGAGTCAAAGAACATGTCTAAAACTTAACTAATAATTGTAGAAAAGGGCCTTTTCGAGTTACCTGATTCTCCCTTCCGACTTCTTCATTTGATTGAGGAAAAGTGGCATAGGAGTCGGGCGTGCTTCCTTCTTCCTCTTAGGGGCTGCAGTCTTCCAGGCAACATGATCATTCTTACAGGTCCTTGCATTGTGGCCTTCTCCACCACATTTCCCACAATCAACTGAGAGGTTCTCCCGGATAGCAGCCTCCCTATTTCCATTCTTAGCTTGTCTACTTCATATCTCCCAAGCCACCCTTCTTTGTTTTGTCTTCGAACGACCAGGCATGCGCCTAATCCGAGGCGAGTAAACCTTGTTCCCAAACGTGGGCATCCATGCTTGCCAGCCTTCTGATGGTGGAATGGGAAACTTGTATGCCGATTTGACGAATTCCATCTTGAAGAAACCACCAACATAGAGGTCTGGTTTACGTCACATGCTTGTGATGGATGCAAAATCATGGCAACAAGGTATACCATTGAGTGCCCACCATTCGTACGTATATGTCTGGTTGTTCAAGTCAACCACTAAGCCCTTGCCGTCGACAGATACCTCATGCATCATCTTAGAGGAAGGGCAGGCAGTACACATTCTCGCTTCATGCTTTGCCTTTTCCAGTTTGCCTCTGATCATCGGTAGCAAGTTTGGTTTGACACAACCAAGTTGAACTTCCGTTTAATTTCAGCCGCTATTAGGCCTACATCCCAACCCCGATTTTCCCTAAAAGACTCAATATATTCTTCTGCTACCCACTTATGGTCGGCTCAACGAATGTGAAGTGAACGCGGGCAACTGTGAGCTGGTCCAACTCCTTTCACCATAAATGCTTCATGCTTACAAAACCAACTTGCATATACCCTCCAGCCACATGAGTATTCTTTCTTTTGCGCACACACAACCTCTTTCCGAACTTCACTGCTCCTTACCCATTTGATATCAGCACCAATCTCAATTGATTGCCTCTTTACAGCTGCCTTAAACTTCTTAGGGGATCTAAAGCGCATACAAGTGACAAATGTCATTGCTTTATGATTTCACTTTGGATCATAAACCAAGGCCTTGTCAAATGTGGCATCATTCTCTTTTTCGCCAATGTTGCCTCTAACATGAGCAGACTATCTGCATCATCTTCTCCAGCTTCAGATGCCTGATTGCATCCCCAACTTGCACTCTCTTCATTCTGCCTCGGATTATCAGTACTAAATTTTTGCTCCTCATCCTCAGATACTACTTGATCCACCTCCTTCCCGATACCTGAATCTGAGCTCTAAAATTCTGCCTCCTCTTTCGAACCTTTTGCCTTATTTCATGGTACTCTTCATCATATGTTTGAGCATCATCCTCTTCCTCTACTCGCACAAATTCAGGCACAATCGAGTTTTCACCCTCCTCATCTAATCCATCATGCTCATGGCCATAGTTTTCATCCATAAATCCATCATCACCAATGTCTTTGGTTGCTTCAAAGTAGAGTCTCACCTCTCCTTTAGATATACGTTGAGTAATCCATTCATAACCTCCTCGTCTGAATGTATTTCGTGCAATCCAGTGGCCATACTTTTCCTCGGTGTCAAGTACCAAAGCCTTTCCACGGAAACATACTCAAAATCTTCAAGTGTCTTTGTTAACTCGAAATATGATAGCACATCGACAAGCATATTCACCACAATTTCATCACATCCCACGTACTTTGGACCAACCCCGGTCATATCTATAAATTCACCATGGCATAAAATGAGCTCAATTTGGTCTTCCATCACTACAGGAAATCTAGTTTCTAGTCACGGGATCTTATTCACGGGAATGTTTCCCGTACTTATAAGTATGCTATTAGTCAAGGGAAAAGTTCCCGTATTTGATTGTATAGTTCTAAACACAAGAACGAATTTACTGGTTTTTAGTCTTCATTTCCCGTGATTAATTGTTAGTCACGGTAACTTTCCAGTGAATAATGTGACAATTTACCTTTACAAGTTTAGATGATAATTGATACACGTATATATGACTGTACATATTTTATTTGTTTAAAACTTTCATATCCATATATTTTCAAGACATATCAAAATTTCCAGTCATTTGATACCTCTTTGACTAAAAACTTATAAAACCTGTATAATACATTTAATATTCGAACTTAATGAATTAAATTGGTAACCTAACTATTATTTATATACTAATTTATATTTAAATTAATTAATTTTATAACTATTGGCATACTATTAAACGTGCAATTAGTTTAGAGATGAAGTAAAATGTCTATATTTATTTTATACATAACTTACCCATATAAAATTTTACTAACTATTATCTAACATAATTTTTTTCAAGAAGTCTTGTTAAATTAAACTCTTGTTAAATTCACCTCCTTTTCCAAACAAAATTTTGTTGGGCTGAGCAATTTGGCTCTCCCGCATTCTTTTGCCGCCTCCCCAATTCTCAAATTTGGTTCTCAAATATTTGGCTCCACAATACTACAAACTTTGGCCCTCCCTCAAATTTATTTTACAAAAAAATAAAAATAGAAGTGCCATTCGCTGTCGTCGAAGTGGTGTTTGACATAGGCAGCACATCTTATTCTTAGGAAATTCTCTGCTCTCGCAAACCCACACTCTCTCTTCGTTCCAAAGGGAAAAAGTTCTCAGCTGCTGCTCGCGTTCTTCCATCTCTGCATCCCAGCTCCGCTACACGCGACAGCTTGTTCTGTCCCAAGTTGGTCCAAGAAATCCAAAAAATGCCCCCCAGCTCCCAACTGATTAAATCTTCCTCTCACCGCTTGCTCTATATCCCAACTAATCCCCTCCAAGAATTCAATTTCATATGCTGTGGAAGGGCCGGGGAATCCATTTGCTGCCAACAAATCCTTCTCTGCCGCCAACGAATCTCGCTCGGCCGCTGAATCCGTCCCACCAAAGAAACCTCCGCCATCTCAGTCTTGTCTCTGTTCTCACCGCCTTCACCGCCTCCGTCGTCGACACTGCCTCCGCCGCTTGGTTAATATTGTGTTAGGGTTATTCATTATGCGTTTTGGATTAATGTTTGGCTCTCATTCCTAGTCTAGGATAATTTTGTATCTGTTTTAATTCTATGCATCTTTAGCTGCTCACTCTAGTTCTTGTGGGGATTGGTTGCTCTGATTTTGCTTAAAGCCAAGTGCCAAAGCCACTTCATCGGACAGGTATCAGCATTTTGCTGTGACGTACGTTGGTTTCTCTATTCGAAAGAGAGCGGAAGTGGAGCTGGAGAAAGGGGATTTCACAGAAGTCGTGATCTTGCTCTCAAGGGTAAAATGGTTCAAGCTTTCAACTCCTCTTTGCAAAGAAGTTGTTCGCTTCAAGGCCATAGAGTCTAGCTTTGTTTGAATCACATCTCTCAAGGTCTTAAAGTTGTTTAACTTGTTGCAATCTGCAGGTTTTTTCTTTGTTTCATTTTTTCTTGTCCCGCTGCTTCTTTGTTTGGAAAGGGACATGGTCCATAGCAGCAAAAATCATTTCATCAATAATAAAGTTACCTCTGTTAGTTCATTGGATAAAACGGCAGCTTCAGCTCTTGTCAAATTACTAGCATCAAACAAAAGTTAAAAAATGATAAGCTTTTATTTAGAATGATTTGTTTTCTTGTTCTCCAGGTGGGGAAAAGATTTCGCTGGCATGGTAGAAGACAAACATCGCAAAGAGGTTGCAGGAGGAATGTTAAGAGATGTTGCCTATTAAATGGATCGTTAGAGGAATGCTAAGAGAAGGTTGCATGTTTAATTTGCAGAACTGAAACTCTGCTTGAACCCGAAAGGATTCTAATAATAAGCATGTAAGAATTGATCCAAGGTGCATTTTTGCAGCTTTGAAATCAGAGGTCTAGAATGTGAATGGATGCCGCATTTGTCGAGGGAGAACCATTGATCAAGTACGCGGGATGTCTTTTTTTAGCAGAGAAGCATTACTAGTCTTTATATAGGAGTGGAGAGAGATTTGGAGAATGATCAGAGTTGCTTTGAATGCTTCTCTTGGGTATGTTGCTTCTTCCTTATTCCATTTTTTTGCATTTGGATTCTTACTTTCTCTTGTAATGGATTCGTGTCTTGGTTGTTGGATGCTTGAAAGCTTGGTAATTCTGGATTGAAGCTTTGTGGTGACAAAGCTTGATTAACTGCATTATGAGTTGAGGTGGACTACGGTTGCCTCCTACTTGCTTTAGTGTACTCTATGCTATGTTTGCAGTGGCCAAAAAAAGTGGGTATGAAATTGATTATCTAGTAGCTAGTATAATAGGATTAGTCAAGTCTGTTGTCCAAGACTGAATATATATGCATTGGGGAGTTGTCTGTATATTGGTGCATTCTCCAGCTATACATAAAATCTTATTCCACTCAAGGTTGACCATTCTGATAAGAATGACTTAACTTGTATTTGCAGCTTCTCAAGGGTCAATGAAGCCCTCTGCTATTTGCTTCCTCTTTCTCCTATTTGTTATGACACTGATGTCACTATGTTCTTGATGAAAGCCATATTTGATGGGAAATGGTGTCTATAAAAGGATTAAAAGCTTCTTATGCTATTAAAGATGGACCAGAAAGACCCCAATGCTGGTTGGTATGTACTAATTCTTTTTTAGCTATTATTTCTAAATTTATGGTCTAAATCATTCTACATGGAACCTCATAGTACATTTGAGATTTTAGTTTGCTGTTGTATTGTAGTTTCTGCATAAGTTGCTGGATTTTCTACTGATCCTATAGATTTTCAGAGATTTTTTGCACTTTCTGTTGGGCTTTTGCTGCATTATGGCTTTGCTTCGTGCCTCCTTGCACAGCTTGTTAAGTATTCTTCCATTTTGTTGTTCTTGGTCCTGGATTTGTTACTGCAGGTGCAAGACTCTGTTTTTAAAGGTGATTAGAATTGTAAATTTTTTTTGGTTGTTCTTAGTCCTCTAAATTCTTTTTCAAGTGAACAGAATTGTGCAAAATGCAGCTGCTTGAATGTTAGTTTGGGGTTTGGAAGGGATGAGTTTGCATCAAGTAGCAGTAGTGAATGTTTGTTTTGGCAGCATGAGGGCGAAGTAGTGGCTGCAGCAGAGGCGTTCAATCATTGTGCTGGTTCTGTTTGTTCTTTCTTTCGTGGTTGAATGATTGATCTTTGTTTATCCAATCCGCCAAATTGTGAGACAAAGAAGTTACAAGGTTAGTCATCATCAAAGTTAAAAACAAGTTTGATGCTTTTCAGAGTCTTTTTTTTATTGGATTGTATTAAATAGTAGCAGTAGCAACAAATATGTCAGCAATTTTTTATGTATGTCTATGGATTTTGATTCAATTTTTCTTTTTCTGGGCCTGCTCCGTGGTTGTTAAATGGTTTGTTGATTCAATTTCTAGAACAACTGTAATAGGAGCAATGCTTTAGAGGCTATGAAGTGTACATGTAGTTCTTGCCTTGCGAACAAGGCATTTGGGTAAGTCTTTCTAAGTCCCACTTTAAGTTACCAGCTTCTTAAACATGTTCTTTTGGATTTGGGTTCAACTGACTTGTCATTGACGGTTGAAATTTTAATTGTTATTCATGGCAGATCAACCGTACAGGATGTCTCAGATGGAGTCCACGATGTATTTTTTTTGTTAGAAGGATGAAATTTTGAATGTTGACTCTAGATAGAAAATCGTGATGCTGACTTTAGTACCAGTGAAGAAATAATTAGTTAGCGTATTGAGTAGAACTAGTTATTACTATGATATAAAATGTCATATTATAGAATTATTATATACAAGATTTGAGACTTTCGATTGTTGATAATAATAATATTTAGTTGTTACTTCGTGACATGAGACTTTGAGACTGGCTTTTGTAATTAGTAATGGCAAATATTCATAATTATAATTGTTATAGATATTCTAATTAGTCATAGCAAAATACCGTGACTAGTGATTGTAATTAGCTTTAGTCAAATATCGTGACTAGTGGTTAGTATGTAGTCACAGGGGAACCAATCACTACAAATAAGAAATACCGTGACTAGTGATTAATAGCTAGTCACGGGAAATGATTAGTCACGGTACATAAAACTAGTCACGGTACACAATTAGTCACAGAGCTATATATTACGGTAATTTTCCCGTGACTAAAAATTTTAATCACGGGAAACATGCTTTTAAACACGGTATATCCCGTGATTAAATGACCTTTGGATTTGGGTTCAACTGACTTGTCATTGACGGTTGAAATTTTAATTGTTATTCATGGCAGATCAACCGTACAGGATGTCTCAGATGGAGTCCACGATGTATTTTTTTTGTTAGAAGGATGAAATTTTGAATGTTGACTCTAGATAGAAAATCGTGATGCTGACTTTAGTACCAGTGAAGAAATAATTAGTTAGCGTATTGAGTAGAACTAGTTATTACTATGATATAAAATGTCATATTATAGAATTATTATATACAAGATTTGAGACTTTCGATTGTTGATAATAATAATATTTAGTTGTTGCTTCGTGACATGAGACTTTGAGACTGGCTTTTGCAATTAGTAATGGCAAATATTCATAATTATAATTGTTAAAGATATTCTAATTAGTCATAGCAAAATACCGTGACTAGTGATTGTAATTAGCTTTAGTCAAATACCGTGACTAGTGGTTAGTATGTAGTCACAGGGGAACCAGTCACTACAAATAAGAAATACCGTGACTAGTGATTAATAGCTAGTCACGGGAAATGATTAGTCACGGTACATAAAACTAGTCACGGTACACAATTAGTCACGGAGCTATATATTACGGTAATTTTCCCGTGACTAAAAATTTTAATCACGGGAAACATTCTTTTAAACACGGTATATCCCGTGATTAAATGACCTTTTTCTTGTAGTGCATTCTGCACATAAACAAGTCGGAAAACACACTTTTCTAAGCTCACTTCACTAAGACGACAAACACAAATCATCTATTATTGTTTAATGTCCACTACACATCAATCCACATATGGCCAAAACCGATTTCTTGGAAGTATTCAAATGATAATTACAAGAGATAGAGATTGCTTACCTTAGCTGAATAACAAACAAGATTTTGTCGAAGTGGTCACATGCTATTGTAGTCATGAGAAACTTCACTTTCTTCGCCTTTTACAAAAGACAACGATGGGTAGGGAAGGGTTGGTATAGAAAGAAAGGGACTGAGAGCGATGGGTGGGGAAGGCTTGGTATAGAAAGAAATCGACAGAAATCAATGGGTGGGGAATGGGAGATAATGCCCTAATTTTCGTTGTCGACGAGAGAATAGAGAAGAGAGGCGCGCGAGAAGAGCGGGTGTGGGTTCTTGGTAAGGATTCGATCTTCTAAGAAACAACAGCGACTACGTCTTTAAACGAGCGAACGCCGCTGCATTTGAATCGGAGAGAATGACAGTCGTCGGGGAAGAAGCGAGAATAAGAATGTTTAGTTTTTTTTTTTTTTTGCTCAAAACAGAAAGAGGCGAGGGGATACGGTGGGGATGGGTGGCCAAAAATAATTTTATTTTTTTATTATTTTTTAATTAGATAAAGGAAATAATAAAATAATTTGAAATTTGATTTTTTTTGTTTGGTGTTGACATGGCAGTGACCTGGACCATTGACTAACGATCAACGGTGTTGACCATCCAAACAGACGGTCAAACCAGTCTCCGGCCAATTGAGTCTTATGCCACATAGTTCGGGCCGGGATGCTAATTTCTCAAACCACAGGCCAAGTTTGATTATATGATCATAGTTCATGCAAGAATAAGGTATTAACCCTAACAAATAGAAAACATACGAACTATACAAACAATACAATATAAACTAACAAACAATACAAATCAAGAAAAATTGATAAACAACCAGGTTGACTTTTGAGGCTCCATCCCTATATAGAGGGGGACCGCCCCAAAGTCAACCCGGTTGTTTTTTAGAATACAATCATTACAAAATGGTGGACAAAATTGCAAACTAGACTGACAAATACAAAATGGAAAAATAGTCAGGTTGACTTTGGAGGCTTCATCTCTATATAGAGGACTTCCTTCCGAAAGTCAACCAAGTTATTTATTAGACATAAAAACATTATAAACATGGTGGACAAAAATGACAAGCATGATGGACAAAAATAACAAGGTTTAGAAACATTACAATAGATATCGACAAACAGTACAAAACATGCTAACCGTACAGACTACCACTACAAACAATACAAATCGGTAAACTTATAATATAAAACAATGAATACAAAGCATACCAATCATAACATAAAAGTATACAAACTAGACAAATAAACATTACAAATTATAATATACAAAAAATAGACATATAAACATTACAAACTAGAATGATAAATGATACAAACAGAATCGATACAAACATTACAAAAGAGACGTACAAACATTACAAAATAGTCTGACAAACATAAAAAAGTTGGCATTGCCATCGAAAAAATTCCCATCATCGAAAAATCTCCACCGCCAGCACCGGAAAAGTCTCTCTCTCTCTCTCTCTCTCTCTCTCTCTCTCTCTCTCTCTCTCTCTCTCTCTCTCTCTCTCTCTCTCTCTCTCTCTCTCTCTCTCTCTCTCTCTCTCTCTCTCTCTCTCTCTCTCTCTCTCTCTCTCTCTCTCTCTCTCTCTCTCTCTCTCTCTCTCTCTCTCTCTCTCTCTCTCTCTCTCTCTCTCTCTCTCTCTCTCTCTCTCTCTATTTCACCTGGTTAAATTACTCTCCATGGAAGCACCCAAAATCCCCTCTTTCTCAAGAGCA